GCAAATTGAGACACAAATTTGCAATAAAAATGCAACTATGGAATTTTGGACAAAATTATACCCAAGTTCGTGACATATCATTCTTGTCGATAACAAGCTAGAACAAGAGAAAGTTGAAAAGGCTTTCATTGGAAAGAGCCTTACGGGCCTAGGGGCAACTCACTAAAGTTACCATCCTAACATTCATAGCCTTGCACTCAAAATCTCAAACTACGCCAAATTATACACCAAAGCGAACAGAGATTATCCAAGCAACAATCCATCAGTCCTTCCATTACAAAAAACAATTAAAATTATTTCAATTCGTAATGTGTAAACATATTTGCAAATAATTGCAATACTCAAGTAACCAGCTTCTATCAAATCCATCCTTTCACTAGTACTTACAAATATCATGATACGAACAAAAATGATAGTAATCAAACGAGCACTTCCAAATCGAAACACCAAAAGTATTACAATTTCAACAAACAAGATCACAGTTGCACCAAATCAAAAGCTAAACAAAAGCAACAATAATCTAAATCATATCAGATATCACATATTTGTAAATGAAATTACATTAAAAAGGTTACATAAAAACTTACGTTCCACCAACTCCTCCAATAACCTCCGAACTAATTGGATGAAATGGAAGCTCGCAAATTCCAACCTTAAAACATCAATCATTCAATAACTCAATAAAACAATCAATAAATCAACAAATACTCAATCATAATAACATAATAAATAAAATAAAAAAAATCAAAATCTAATTAATTCAATCCTTTACGAAAATCCATCTGACATAAAATTAACATGAGCAGTAATTTATAACCTTCACACCAAAATTACCAGAAAATCAATCACAAAAAAAATGAAAATCCAATAATAATTCAATCTGAAATGAAAATCAATCTGAAATGAAATTAATATGTAACCTTAGCACCGAAATTTGCAGAAAATCGAGCAGCACGAACACCTCCGCTTCCGGCACGATAACGAACAAATCGAAATCGTAGTGAGCTTCGTCTTCGACATTAGTCTGGTTTTGTTCTCCGCCAATAAGCATTTTTTCTGCCCGCCATTGTTGATTTCTTGACGAGTATGGAAAATGAAAAAGGGAAATGAAATTGAAGATTTTTTAGGAGGAGATCAAAGACCTACCCTATATGAGTTCGAAGTTTAGTCGCTTCAAAAAGTCATGGATATATAGACTTTGATGAACTTATGAAAGATATGGACACATGGCTGTATAAAAGTGTTAAGTGATGATAAATTCGATTTGTCTTGTGTGTATTTCACCTTCGAATGGTTGGATATATTCGTGTGATTCAATCCGTATGGAAATCATGGGATATGATCATCGTTAAGTGTGTTGTACTAGGTGTCAATTCAATCCGTAGAGACATTGGCATTGATGCATGAGATGTGGTTTAATTGTTAGAAGTGGAGAATGTTTTAAAGGAACACTCTAAATGGGGGAGGATTGTTGAATATTTAGAGTGTTGATGGTTTGCGCGATCGCGACCATAAAGGAGCACCCGCGCAAGGTTGGCGCGGCGCGCAAAGAGCGCGCCTAAACCGCGTACCTCTCTAGAATTTGGCAATTTGGAGGGGTGAGGATGGCGCGCCCGCGCGTCCTGGTTGCGCGCCGCGCTGCTGGTCGCGCATAAACTGCGCCCCTCACTGCCTTTTTGCAAAATTATGCAGATTTTGTGAGGAGCGCCCGCGCCTCCCTGTTTTTGCGTTTTTTTCTGACGGTTGAGTCTTTATTAAAAGACATCAATTCGTGAAAGAAAAGGATAGAACAACATTCTTCTTCTCCCCAAGCAGAATTCTCCACACTTTTCTCTCAAATTTTTTGCAAACTTTTGTGAGGAAACTCTTTCAATTATTCCAATATTGGTGAATTTGTCATCTTGATTCGATTCTAGTACTAAGAACGAATGTTGTCAATTGTATCTCAAAGCGGATTTCCGGTTTAACCCAAGTACCGTGTGGGGGAAATAAACCTCTTTAGGAAAGTGTTCACACGCCTTTGACAGTGTATCAAGGATCTAGTCTTACAGGACATCGGGATTCTCATGTTCATGTTGGTTTTCTCGGCTTGGAGGAAAGGCAAGCTTGATCAACTTCACACTAGTGCAGTCTATATAATTTTCTGTAATTTCTTAGACTTTGTTAATACTTGATTGAAATACATTGATTTGTATTTGATATTTACAATTACATTGTAAGCATTTATTTTTAGGTTTTATTCCAACACATTTTTAAGTGTTTTTCTTGTTAGAAATCACTGTAAAACCTAACAACCCAAAGTGACCCGAACTAAAATTACCTTATACCTGAAATGACCAGAATCTATTTAAGCTAACAATTTGACCTGAGCAAACCGAAATAGAAAATAACCGCAATCAAACTGACTTAATTTTTTTTTTATTAATTTGTAATGTGTAACAGTGTAAGTATTTTACATATTTTCAAATTCTTGGAATACAAAATCTTCTAGGCCACTTGAGTAAAAAACGCTTCAATGGAAAATGAGATGAAGTGTGTAGAGATTAGAGAAGAGCAAAGACTAAAGAGAGAGATTGGACTCCTAATTAGCAATTTGCAGTAAATTTAATTTCAAATGAAGCATGTCATAACATATATCTGATCGAATCGGTTAAGAAAAGTTCACAGCGCGAGTAAGTGTACTTGGCATCCATCCACGCTACTACTCTTTAAGTCTTTATTAGAAAAATATAGTCTTGTCACTCTTGTGTCATTGTGTGTATTGTTGAAATCGCCACCACAATAAATATTTTAAGAATATTCCATTAATAAAATTATAATGTAAATTACTAATAATTATAATAGGAAGTCTATTATTGATCAATTTCCTGCACTGGCATGCCTGCATACATGTATCAATGTATGTCCAGTTAAAATTAATGGAGCGCTTAAAAACATAGATTATTATAAGAATAATACAAAGAAATTACTACAACAGTGAACAGTGACAATGATAAAAAGAGTATTAAAACTAAGGTCAATAAGAGAGTGAGGTATAACTAATTAGTTAGAGCATCCTCTTAGTTTCAGGAGATCCTAAAAGTGATTCTCAATCTAAACACAAAAAAAAAACAAGGTCAATAAAAGTCTAACAATTACTATATTCCATGAAAAAGTAGCCTTAATAAATATATTGAGTTTCTCGTCAAAAAAAAAAAAAAATATATATATATAGAGAGAGTTGAATTTAACCCAATGCATTGATCCGAATATGATCCGACTCGAAGTTGACCGAAAATTGACCTGACCCGACCCGACCGAATTGACCCGACCCGAGCTATCAGTTGACCCAAATGACCCGACCCGACTCGAAATGACCCGACCCATACCCGACCCGAATGACCCATTTGCCAGGTCTAATATAATCCAATACGACCCACGACCATCTTTAATTACTACTTTTCTAGTCAAATTCACCCGTGGTTTGTGAGTGAAATGGTTTTGAAAGGTTATTAAAACTACAACTAGGGCCAGTCTCCTTAATTCAACAGCCATCTGGGCAAGAGAACGAACCAGGAGAAAGAAAAAGTATCATTTGAAAAGGCTGCGAATTTTCTGAAGATAATCTTCTGCATTTGGCATTGGTGAGCTTTGTATATCTTTATTATATGCTTAATTTCAAGCAACTACAAGTATAAGTTTTTCAGCAAATTATTACTTTATTTTTGTAAAAAAAAAAGGGAACTTTTTTTTTTTTTTTTTTATATATGTTGTTCATGGGCTAATCAGATTGTTATCTAGTGTTCAATTACTGATTTGAATTCAATTCTATGAACCCAGTTCGATATAAAGTGAAAGATGGAAGAAATTTGAGATATTTGCGGTTATAATTGGATTGAATTTTAGGTATAAGAAATTTGAATTGGGTGTATTTTATTAATGATCAGGTTAGAGTTTATAATTATCTTTTATAAATCATGTAATCGTGAGATTGCTGAGGATTTTATATTCTGCAATGTGATCAAGAGAGTTTTAAGATTTGCCATTGTGATTGATTTAAATTAATATTGTATATGTCTGGAAATAACTTTTTACATACGAACTACGAAGTATGCTATTTTGAATTGTACGTATTCGATTGTTCGAGGTTGGTGTTAGTTTATGATTGGATTTCTTAATGTGCTGCTACATGGGTCAAGTGATGAGGAGAGCATAAGAATGAATTGGCTAATATAAAGGGCTTAGTATTGAAATTTCGTCAAAGTTTCAATTGTGGGGTTGGGATCGTGTGACAAATCAATTACTGATGTAGGAACTAAATGGTTTGCCTTGGTGAAAAAGAGCTTGGTTATGCAAAAGTATGCGTGATTTTGCGAATTTAGTAGGAAATAAAGTTTCATAATTTTATATAGCTTTGAGAGTCTGAATATAGGTAAATCTTCACATGAATTTGAAGTTAAACGCACGAGGTGTGAATGTGTGATAACTGGTTCGCAGTTGAGGTTTTCTCAATGCTTGGTAATGGTAGCTTTGTGCTTTATTAACTTTTATGCTAAGCTTATGTGTTAAGGAGAAGGTGAGCAGGTGATGATGTCTGGTGGGTTCTTTTGTTTACTAGGTGGAAGTCTGCAGTGTTTATTCCAAAATGTTGTCTCCTTCCTTAGATGGAGTAGATGATATCAGACCTGTCAGGAAGTAGCGTAAATTGCTAGTCTGATGTCTTCAAGTGTGGGAAACTAAGTTAGAAATTTATGTTATAATAGTAGTGATTTTGCTGTCAAATTTTTTTTAGTTACCCTAAAACCTCAAGTAGTCCACTTGGCACTTTAATGTTGGACTTAAACCATGCAACGCTTTTCATAAGATAGCTGAATGACCTGAACTTACCACTGGAACAAGTATCCATGTATGACAAGATCAGTGAAGTCTAAGAAACATGGTATATTAGGTAATTTTGTCAAAAAACTACCAATTAAAGCACGTGTTTTGGAAACAACTACCTATTAATTTTTTTTTTCAAACAACTACCACAAAGTTGTGAAAAGTTTAACTAGCACTACCACTACCACTCTAACAATTCCGGCTAGAATCTTTGGCATGTGGGTTCCACTTTATTAGAGTGGTAGTGTTAGTTAAACTTTTTACAACTTTATAGCATGTGGGAAAGGTAAAAAGTGGGTCCCACATGCCGGAGATTCTAGCCGGAATTGCTAAAGTGGTAGTGCTAGTTAAGCTTTTTACAACTTTTGGTAGTTGTTTGAATTTTTTTAATAGGTAGTTGTTTCCAAAACACGTGCTTTAATTGGTAGTTCTTGACAAAATTTCTGGCATATTACTATGACGTACTTAGCCATCTATATGTCGAAGTATATTCATTCGTATTATATAATGCATAGTATATTTTCGCTGATCACTCTAGGCCAGTCATTTGATGATTGAAAAAAGTTGTGAATAGATGGTTAGGTAACTTTTAAAGTTGCATCTTATGGAAGCTGTGTTGTCAAGGTAGAATTAGGTGATGACATTTTCATAGTATAGAGCATTTGGGGTACAGCACATTTTAAAAAGTACTGGAATATCTAAACAGAGTAGGTCAATTGGCTGAAAGGCCCTTCTTAAACATTGCATTATGTGAAGGTAATTGAGGTGATAACAGAGAAAAGCGGAAGGTAAAAGTTGAAATTTTTACATCAAATACTTCATTGTTTTACTAAAATAGCTTATGATACGGAAAAATTATAAGATTTTTTTTAAGTAATCAATGTGTAATATTTTTTCTAAGCTCATTCTATGAAATGAGTAAGATTTTTAGTTGTGGCATCTTATGCTGTTTCATCAAGCTACATTTTGTTCATTCTATTTGATATGTCAAATTTGTAGTTAAATATTTTCTGCCATCTTTGAATGATGGAACCGGATTATCAAAATCACTTTAAAGATCCAGAATCCTCTGCTATGCTCAATAGTAGAGGTGTGACTGCTGACTCCAGAAACCAATGGAAGCAATTGGGGGAAGAGGAGAGAAAGATGGCAGTTCAGGAAGAGATGAAGAGGGTGCATCAATTGCCTGCTAATAGTAGCTATGCCATTCACCGTCGCCGTGTTCTCAGTAAAATATTCCAGCTCATGACTATTCAGGTAGGTGTAGTTTATTAATTTTTTTTTTTTGTCTTTGGTATTGATGTTTACTTTTACCTCATACGAAATACATTATTACATCTATGTCCCATTCTAATAACCCTGTTAAATGTGTGTATCATGTTTTAATTGGCTTTTGCTTATCTTTTGAGCTATATTCATTGGCAAATCTGTATCTTTTTTTTAGCAAGTTGCCGACCCCAAATCTTTTTGGAACTAAGGCTTTGTTGTTGTTGTTTGTACTTTGCTTGCAAGATGTTACTTTCCATGCTTAATCATTATGCTGAGCAGACATGATTTCCTGTGCAAATCATCATGTTCTTGAGTTTTTTATTAGCTATGGACCTAGTGTCCGTAAAGGGCTGAAATTCAAAGAAATCCCAAAAAGAGGTGTCATCTGATGGAGATTAGAGGCCGAAGGTGTGACTATATGTAAATTTTTTTTTCTTAAAAAAAAAAACAAAAAAAAAAAATTATATATATATTAAGGTTATGAGGATTAACCTTTAACCTTGCAAGGTTTCAGGGAAGTTTTTTTAGTTGGAACCCTCCACTGCAACCCATGACTGTAGAGGTTTGTTTTTATGTAACTGTAACCCACCTTTTTTGAAGAGCAATGATGTTGTTTGGCCCTTGGACTGCCTTTTTCTCAATTAGTTTTTATGGTGGGCTTGGTCATTTATCTTATGTTGTTATCACATAAGCTATAATCCCTTGTCACAAACAGAGTTAAGGTAAATAACTAGCTTGTGGTTCCAATCTACTACTTTCTCTGTTTCACTAGAATTGCAACTTTTGATTGTGGCACATATATTTAAGTAAGTGGAGACGGAATGCAAAAAAGTAAAAAGTGAGAAATGTATATGAAAGAAGATAGAGAGAAGGAAGAGAGAAATAGTGGCCAAGCAATTATAAAGTAGGCATATATATAAAGTCGTAAAAGTTATGAAAAAAGAAAAGGTTGCAATTATTTCTAAAGCATTCAAAATGGGCAAGTATTGCAATTTTAGTGAAAACGGAGGATGTATGTAATTAGGTTGAGATGAATACAATGATTATTTTCTCTTAGCTTTTGCTTCTGTCTACCTTTTATGATTGTCATGTGCTAAAATGAAACTTATTGTGATGGGTTCTTGAAGTTTGGAGCTATGTACTGGAACTCTGCGAAATTTGAAATTTGAAAAATGTTATTTAATTGCAAAGTTGTTGGCAGATGTGAGAGTTTTGCTTTGGCTTAGTCTAATATGGTGGTTGGAAAACCTACTCCTAGCTTTTGATACAAACTTAAACTCTAGAATTAGCTGATTATGTCATTATGTTGTATAAAATGTATGGGGATGGTTGTTCCTCAGCATTTTATTTTATCACAATTAGGAAGCTTTAAGAAAAATGCTTATTTTCCCCTCAAAAAAAAAAATGGTTATTTTTTGGACAAGCAAGCTACTAGTGCAAAAATTTACAGAAGCACTTGATGATCGTGAAATAAAGGGTGAAATACTTGAAAAAGGGTGCTGGAGGGGGTTGAGTTGTCATGCAGAGTCAATAGCAGTCGTATTCACTGTATTTCTAATGCTTAGCTATTGTTGCTTAATCTGTGAATGAGGATTTTCTTTCTTGTTGGAGGCACATGTAGTTATCATTTATTATGAACCATGAAGATAGCATTACAATATAATCTTATCTTTAATCTAAGATCATTTGGGATTATGAAGTGGTCATAGCTTGGTGTGTGTGATTGCTGTATATATATATGTACATTATTTTAAACCTTCTTTAGACTTTTTAGTCCCAGTGACTTGGGCTTGTGAAAGAAGTTGGAAGATTCTGATTTCTAACTGATTAATTGTTGATTGGTTTTTCTTAAGAGATCTGCATCTGAGGATGAGGAGTTGAGTTGCTTTTTGCTGGGCTGTCCATTTAAGCAGAAGTAATGGCTGTGTGAAGTTCTTGTTACTTGTTTAAATGTCGATGCATTATTTTTTTTCCCAATATTGGTTGATTTGATTCTGAAGTAACCAATTTTGTCAGGCCGTCAGGGCAGAGCGGGTACTTCTAGCTGTGTTTTGCTCTCTAGGCAGGACTAGACCCACCTAGTTGCACTTAGAATAATAACATTGTTGCTAATGCTATTCTGATTTGATTGGTTTCTCGCTTGAATGGTTGGAATCTGTTGGACCTTCCTGTCACGATGAATGTTATGAAACCACTTCAATTTTAGTTGTTAATCATTGCAATCATCTTGCATCGTTCAAAGAAACAATCATGTTGATAGGACTGATGCTGAAATGACAGAAATCTATTGGGTCTTTCAGAATTTCAATTTCTTGTTTCCGTTGCTAGTTTTCATCTTGATTTCAGTATAGATAAATCGAATTCACAGCCAAGAACATTCTTTTTTATGAACCCATATACTAAATACTAATATTCCTCCTTGTCAGGCTGAATCACTACAGGTGCATCTGCAATTTTACTGTCACAGCATGCCTGCAGAGACATGAATGCTACAGAATGGAACCTCTATGTTCTTGACACTGTCCTTTGGAAGCTGCAACTTGTTATGATAAAATGTAAGGGAGTTCTAACGCACACCAGTTTTGATTTCCTAATCACAACTGCAAATATCACCGACAGTAGTTAATGTGTATAAAAAGTAGTGCTTTTCATGTGCTGATAGTTAAGCTCTAAGTTTCATAAATCATAGTAATAATAGTATATTAGTATGTGTTTGTTGTAGGTTCTATGATGGTCATTGTTCTTTCTTTGCAATTGATTTTATCTATGCCTTTCTGTATTCTTGGGTTTTTATTACATAAATTGTAGTGTACCCAAGAGTGTTCAAGAATAATAAAAAATGTTAAACCGCAAGTTTAGCAAAAAAATGCTTTGTAGGGAAAACTTGGGTTAATGAAATTCAAGCTCTCTACCCATTGTTGCCACATATTTTTGCATGCCTTTATAGATATTGTGGCGCCATATGTTTAAAACACATTGAGCTAATAAATTCAAACCGCTTATGCTTGCCTTGACTTACTTGGCTGTCACAAACCCTGATTGACTATCGACTCCACGTCTCCACTCTCGGTGCCAATAGGAGTAGGCAAGAGTGCCAACAACCCATTTCTTGCTTGTGCTGCTACATGCTCACAATCTCTAGCTAGCGTCCTTGTTGCTGATCTTCAATAGTAAGTGCTATAACGAATAAAAAGAACTCAAATCACGTACATGCTTTTTTTTTTTTTGGGAACAAAAAATCACGTACATATTTAATGCTGTATGTTTGCTAAAAGATGTTTTCTTGGCTCTTATTAAAAGAATAAAATACCATACACTGGGAAATACATCTTGCATAAAATTTCTATCCGAGAGTCATCTGTTAAAATTACTTTTTTAACACAAAAACGAAGCACGTGTACTTTGTAATTTCATATTAATTATGGGTAATTAGTACCCTTGAAGAGGTTCACAAAATCACTATACATACAACATACACTTACAAAAAACATTAGAACGAAAGTACACATAAAATTATGCTTGCAACAAGGTAAGTGTAATTTTGAACTAGGAGCCAAACTCAAGTTTGGCTGGATTTTGCAGATCCAAATTGTAATCCTTTGCTACACATTTAGGAGATTTGTAGTGGTAGTGATGTAGTAGCAATTATCCTACTTGGAAATAACCATTTGGAAATTATGACAAAATCACGAGTCGATGGGTGTTGTTAATCTTTATAGTTCATGGTCTTTCATTTTTATATTCTTGTCCTTGTAGCCTATTTGAAAATATGATCAATAATTATCTCTTAGGATCATGTACAAAATCAGTGGACCATTTTTCAGCATCATGAACTTTCTACTTTGATATTGGCTTTGGCTGTTGCACAATTGCTGAAGAAGAATGGTAATTTTATTATCAGGCATATTCGAGCTCGAAAAAGAAACTTGGTTGCACAATTGCTGAAGGAGAATGGTGTATTATCAGGCATATTCGAGCTCGAAAAAGAAACTTGGTTGCACAACAACTAGCAGCGCGCTTATGGCCTCGCCATGGCAATGCAAAACAAGCTTATGATGAAGACATTGGAGCCACTGCTTCTGCGCGTAAGGCAGAGTACTTGGCTTCTATTACATGCATGCTCTGCATTTTCATTTAATTCAAGATTGCAACATGATAACACATTTTTTTTTTTCTTTTTTTTTGACAATAGCATGATAACACATTCAAAGCATTAAAAAAAAAAAAAAGGGTAACTTGGTGATTATTTGATTGGTTTGAAATTTGTGCACCAATCTGTATAGGTTTTACTCACCTGTTTTTAAATACTTTCATCAATTACCTGTTATGTTGATTTTTGGTACTTTTAACACTTTCTATGTACTATGACATTAGATTACTGTCAGTGTTAAAAAAAAAAGATATTAGATTACTGTTAATAACTTATTTTATTGTATCAAGGCCTTCATTAGTAAACCAGCATTTAACTTAAGTGATTTTTGTGAAAATGGAATATTCTACGAAACAATAATTTAAAATTAATTTAGATGCGTTCAGATAAAATAAATGTTATACAAATTCAGATAGAATTTCCTTTCCTTCACTAAGATTTTAATAAAAAAATATGCATAAATCGTTTACATTTTTAAAAAGCAAAACCTATCAATTAATTTTTCATAACCATTTGGCAAAAAGGGTTTATCATATTTTTAAATACCCATTTGACTATTTAGCCCTTTTACAAAGGGGAAGGTAGTAAGGACTTTTTAGTTTGCAGCACCATTAAAAATGAATTAATAATAATGGACTTGATCACAAGCCTTTGTGCACTAATAACGAGGGAAAACATATAAAGACAAGGACATTAAATCCCTCAAAACAACTACTCCTTTTGAAATAGTTTATAATAACATTAGAGATCATAAGATTAGTTTATTGTTAATTAATAGAAATTTGACAATAATTTAAAATAACTAATGTGGAAGGAAATGGGTTGAATATTGTATCCACTCTACAATCACCACTTTGCACTTTGAGCATTGCATCATGTGAAGAAGACAGTATAATTATGATTCGTAATATTTTACTCCGTAAGTTGTGCGTTATCATGTTAATGCATCCATTGATTCAAGAGGCTAATAAAAAATTATAGATGAGGAAAGAACATTGAAGATTCTAACAAACATTTTCTGTAAATTCCTACCTTGGTGTGCACAATAATTAAGGAATCATCAATGGAAAATATTATTTCAAGATAACATTTTTGTTATCACTCGTGCTTCTTAACACCAATACACCAATAGTAACAAAATAACGAAATGTTGTACTTCAATCAGTATAATAATTCAATAGGTTTATATCATAGTAATTTAATTATAGAATATTAAGAGCACAGTGTTATTTTTTTTGTACATTTGTACGTAGTATATGAATATACCTAAAAAAAAAAATTCTTTTTAACAATAACATACTCGGAAATACATAATATATAGTTTATAGTGATTAAATAACTTTTATAAGTAGACTTTAATACGTTATCTTTACACGAACTGATTATACTTTATTAGACCTAATAAGCCATACTCGCCCATGATTATACTTTAAATTTATTTTGTAAGTTACAAAACACACCAAATTGACCAGTACAAGAGTAACACGACCTACAATTGAATTGCACTCCGTAGTTGCTTCTCAAAAAAACAAAAAAGAAAAAAAATAAAGAATTGTACTTGAAATCACATGAACCTAAAATCCTAGATACATCACAAAATGATTAGCTTCATTACTCAATCATGATAACTTGATTACTTAAATGATATACTCAAATGTTATTCGATCCTAAACCGAAAGTTTCATAGATCCGACAACGAACCTACCTTTACTTCGGAGTATTTTGTACTAAAATTTGACCCGATTTTTACCATACCATACCATACCTTTTTTTAACTACGACTTTACCATATCTCTTGTATGTGGCTGACCACACCATGTGATCGGGGTTAGAGTTATAGGGGTTACTTGTCAGTGTTATAGTGTTTACTTTTTTTTAGTTTTATTAGGGTTACCTTGTCAATATTACAGGAATTACTCCGTTAGTGTTATACGGGATTACTCTATTATTTTACAAGCTGTCATACGATTTGGCAAGCCGTACAGATTACGCGTTATACCATAGTACCATATAATTATTCAAAAAAAAAAACCAAAAAAAAAAAAAAAGTTACATTAGCATCAAGCCATCAACAAAACAAGATCCAACAAATTAGTAAAAAAAAATAATTAATCCCCCTTTGTAATAAGCAATAATGCAAATAATTTCAACAAATTAATCTCTTAACCCATACTCTTCTCTTAGTTAATAGATCCCTTTTTCCCGCTTCACTTTCGCTAAACCATACTCTCACGTTGTGAACTGTTAAACATCGCCCGCAAATTCCTACATAAAGCCCACAAAATAAGAGTGAAATGACACTTTTGCCCTCATACTAAAAAAACACACAATTTCTCTCTCTACTCTCTACTTCCACTTTCTCTCTCTAAATTATTTCCAGAGCTATGTCTAGGCGGCCCGGCAAGGAAGTGGCGGCACCGGCGGTGGGCGGAAGGCGGTTTGCCGGCCAGAAGGTAATTTTTCTAATTTTTGTAATTTTTTTTAAAAAAAAAACCTCCGGCGACGGTGTGGCGCCAAGGCGAGACGCCACCACCACGGAGGAGGCGCCTAGGCAAGGCGCCCGTACGGTGGTGGCGGCGCCTAGCCCAGACGCCAATACCACGGCGGCGGCGCAGAGGCTAGGCGCCACGGCCGTGGTAGTGGCGTCTGGGCTAGGCGCCGACACCACCGCAAGGGCGCCTTGCCTAGGCGCCTCGTTCTTTTTTATTTTTTTAAATTTTTTTTTTGTTT